AAAGTGTTTTATTCGAAAATAATGAAGAAAATACGTGTCTTAGATATTGAAAATTGGGATGACGCATTCTATAATGCCATAAAAGAATTTCACTATTCTTAGGAACGAAAACAGAATCACAACTAGCAAATCATCTTTGTTGACTCACATTAGTCTCAAAAGTAGTAGAACCCCTCACACTCTTTAGCACTGTCAATCGTCTTTCCTGATAATAGGTCCTCAAAGACACAGTAAGAAGAGAGAATTAGCGTAGCAATTTGAACTTTTTGTTAATTGACTAATGGACAATAAATTGCATGATAGGTTTGGGACATGCAAAACATTTTCGAGTGTGATTAAATTAGAGATTCGAATACTCCATTTTCCAGCCACTGAGGATAGAGAGCTGTTAGCAATTTTGACTTTAAGATTTCTAGCACAAGTTGAGTATGAAATAAAGAGATGGTGTGAGTCCGTCATGTGATCGGACGCACCAGAGTCGATAATCCAAGGTCGAAATGGAGTTTTGTACTTCAGATGAATTGACTGCAGCTTGATAGCCTTGATCAAGCTTGATTCCTGGATCTTTGTCTTGGTTTCCAATCAGACGGCTTTCCATGCACTCCTAGCATGTATCCTCTTTGTGCCCAAGTTTCCGACAGTGTTCACACCACAGCGACTATTTGTTGCCTTGTGCTGGGTCCAATTTTTCTTGTTTCTCTAAGTACTTGGGCTCCCAAATCAGGCCCACCATATTTAGGCCCATCATGTGAGACTTTCCAAACCGATGAAGGCAAACCTAATCTCCCTTCGGGCACCCTTTCAGGCCCTTTCTTGGCTGCAATTCCTTTAGGCCCAATTTCATGAGGTCCAATTGGCCCAATAAAGTGAGATAATAGGGCTGATCCATCCACACGTTCATCAGGCCCAATCCCTTCCTTCTTCAACATAATCAAACGACGACTCTCCTCATGTCGTACTTCGGCGAAGGCGTCCCGGGTGGTGGGCAGTGGCCGGCAGCTGAGAATTCTGCCTCTCACGTCATCGAGGTCTCTGTCTAAGCCAGCCAAAAATTCATACATACGCTCATTCTCTATTCTCTTCTTATATCGAACCCCATCACTAGGGCAATCCCATGTTTCATCCATACTCAGGTCCAATTCCTACCATAACGAGGTCATTTCCATATAGTACTCAGTGAGGCTTCGTTCTCCCTATTTTGCCTTCCAAAGTTTGGTCTTAATTTCGAAAATCTGAGATGAATCTTCCATGTAGGAGTACATCTCTCGAACACTGTCCCATATGTCCTTCACAGTCGCCATGAAGAGGTAGATTTTGCTAATTAACGATGCCATTGAGTTGACGAGCCATGACATAACCATAGAGTTTTCTGATTTCCACTTTTGCTGAAGAATGGGGTCTGCAGGTTGCTCTGTGTCGCTGGTAAGGTACCCTATTTTTCCTTTTCCTTCGACCACAAGCTTAATGGATTGAGCCCATTCTCTATAGTTTCTACCATTGAGTTTCTCGACTGTGAGTTGGAATGAGGAATTATCAATTCCAATTGACGCCATGGTGTGACCAGTTTCATTCCCACTGGTTCCGAATCCGACGGTGGCTGAAGTTATATTGTTGGCAGTGGTTTCTGCCATTGATAGCCGGGTTTGATTTTACCCTGGCTCTGATACCATAAAGAAACAATGAAGAAAGCGTTTTTTATTTTATTGTACATAATTCTTACACTTCGCCTTCAATATATACTACAATACAATGAATGGAAAAAGAAAAGATAATATTCTACCACCAATTATTTCCTACATTAGTCCTAAATATTCCATACTACAAATATTACAATCTCCATAATTGAAGCATGATTAATACGTGATTTCCACATTAGATTACCACTTGAATTCAGCGAGATTTTAAGCAGTGCTTAAACACTCGATTGGTGAGTTAGCGAGTAGATGTTACCACAGTAAGAAAATGAAAATTTACAAGAACTTAATTCTAGGTGGTGCAGAGAAAGGATGTTCAAAGGAAATTGACAAGAGAGCATGTATTACAATTATTTTGTTGGTGCTTGAATTCATTGAGATTTTCATCCGTGAATCAGAAAGACAGATTTCACCTCAGAGGGACAAGAGTTCGCAAGGAACAAATTTCAGGTGCTGCTGAGCAAAGGATTCAGAAAGGGCAGTTTACCCTCGAGATCTCATTACGTCAACGGTTAATCAAAGCTTCATATTAATCCGTTATGGCAACGTCATTTAAAAGCAAAAACAAGGAAAAAAAAATTCTTGTGTAAGAATATATATTGGTTTATAAAATGAGAATAAAAGCAATGGATTGCAAATACTAGGATAAGCCATGCCAAAAGAAATTAAAGAATGTTTTTCGAGTTGTTTTTCAGCTTGTTATCTGGCCATTGAATTATTACATTTTAACACAACAATTTATCAAATTGGGAATAAAACTTCTCAATAAGTCGGATTTCTAGTTTTATCTTATTTAATAATTCCTATTCTATACTTCTTAGCATACGGTCTGGCTGCTATTTATATGGCCAGTTCAGTCCGTATATTCATCATAAGGATTGAAAATTATGTTGAGAGTGTAACACTTTGCAGATCGGAAGTCTACTGCAGTGAATGGTGGAGGAAATCCGAAATAGTTGATTTCTTTATCTTTTAGTGTAGGAAATGAGATATATAATTATTCGTACTGCAGAACAATCCTAGGAATATAGAAACTAACCTATTACAGCTTTTCAGCACTGCTAAACCATACATTTCTACTGTTTCAAGTAGCATTCATTTGAAAACTATCTTAAGTGGAAACATAAGGATTGAATTGTGACCATTACCCATTTCCGAGCATACATTTCTACTGTTTCAAGTAGCATTCATTTGAAAACTATCTTAAGTGGAAACATAAGAATTGAACTGTGACCATTACCATTTCCGCGCGTCACATGTTGAACTTGGACATGGACTCTACACTTTGTCATCCCCAAATACATATGTAAATTCTTTTATTATTGTTAAGCGAAACGAATGAAACTGTAATCTGATTCTGCTTTGTCTTGACTACCATTTCAAGCACCCAAATTTCTGTTCAATCATAATTTCGTACTGACACTTCAACATTTAAAAAAGCTTAATCAGGCACTGAGGCATTTTGCCTCCATAAAGTGAAGCGTAAGCCTCAAAATAAACCAATTTAGAAAAAAAAAACAAAACAAAACAAAACAAAACAAGAAATTGCTCATAATACATCATATCTTGCAAACAAACAGTTCGATAAAGTATAAAATAATAAATTTTCAACTTAGTAAATCACATGACAAAGTTATAGTCTACTGCTAGAAGTTGAAACAAGTCATAAGTATCCTATAACTTCACCTTAAGGCATAAGCCTTACAAAACCACACTTGAAAAATATGTTTAACAAGTTCAATAAAAGCCTCACGTGAGACAGGGTTTAAGTGATGGGAATCCTAGAAATTATATTTTATGGGATACTTTCCAAATTGAATACGTATTTATGATTTTATATTCTCTATAATTTTAATAGTTGTTTCTTACCTAAATTGATAGATACTCTAGTATTTTGTTAGATATTTCTTACATAAATTAACCTAGTTTAAACCCTGTATAAAGGAGCTCATGCTTTTTATTAAGATACACATTTGAATAGATTTGATACTTTTCTCCCTCTAAATTCTCTTTATTCTCCCTCTCTTTCTTTATCTTCTTCTTTTTTCTTTTCTCCATCTTGTTCTTGTTCAATATTGTTCTACAGCAATAAGCCTCAAACAACTTTTTTGAACAACATGAACAAAGAATACTAAAGCGACAGTTTGCATCAACATTTGAAGAACCTAACCTCTCATCTAAAAACCCAAAACATCTATGAAATTAAAATACTAATAAAAAAAATTACTGATGTTTTAAAGATAGCATGCCAATAGTTTAATGATAATTGTATTGGCGAAACTTCATAGAGAAGATAAATTTACGTATATTCTCATGAAAGAAAATCTTCTATATTTAATAAAACTTGAGGGAGATTGGGTCCTAGATGATGGAGTAGCATCTAAGACACATACAAAAACTGCTGTGCCTGCTATAACCAGTTGATTCCATCTTGCTCGTGGTTCTCTTAATGTTTAATTTTCTTTTCAGAAGCAACTTTGTTTTATGGTGTTTCTATGCCTTTTAGTTAGTTTTCTGGTCCATTAACCATGTGATAGTCATGTGGTTCAACATCCACACTATTGTCTTTTCTTATTTTAGGGCAACAAGGTTATTGATACATCCAATGATTGCTAAATATGCTATACTCCTATAGCTCTCTTAGGGACTCTTTAGCCCTGGAAACGTGAACCCCATCAAAAGTTTACAGCTTTTGTTTAATTTCTCTTTGCTGCTTATCAACTCAGCCATCATTATTACTCATCCCATTTCTGTCCCTGTATCGCCATCTTAAAGTATCATAAATAAAAGGAAACAGAATGAAGTTGGTTAACAATAGCTATATGTTAAAGTTTAAGCTTTTTAAATCTGTCATGATAAGAGAAATTGCCAACATTTTCATATTTAATTCCCATATTTTAAAACAACAAGCTAATATTTAACACATGATATAATCCCTCAAATCAAGCAAGTAAAAAACCATAACAAGAAAGGAAAAGCAATAACAGTACTTGCATGGAGGTATTAATATTAAGACATTTCCAGGCAGAAACATCTTCATTAACTCAGAAAATATAACGGCAAGGATCAAAAGTAGTCAATGTATATGAACTAATTGAATAACAAAAGGTAAAAGATAAAAATATAAAATTACAATTCATCTAGAAAGAGACGTATAGAATTGGCACGTATGTGTAATCATATCACTGATAAATGCCAACAAGAAGAAAATGCAACAATCATTAAAATTGTTCAATATGCAGTATTTAAAATATTAAAAGTAGTTAAAAGTGAAACTAATAATATTATGAAATATGTAAGTTTGACCTGGAAATAGGTGCGCAATGAGCAGAGCAAGTTGACTTTAGTGTCATAAGGAGACAGACCATACTTCCTGCACAATTTCTGAAGCTCTTTCTTGGTAATGTCGGTGTCATAAATCACTTTACTAGTTGAGTTTTTCACCATCCCTATCACCTGTAACACGGATTTCCAAAAGAAACTTCATTAAGAAGATAAACATAATTATATCTCGATGAAAGAAAAATATTCTCCATGTAAGAAATTACTGGTGCCTATGATAAAATTGGGTCCTACAAAAACTGGATCCTATATATAACGACCCGAGCTTCGGACCTCCCTATCTCATACGTATGATATAACGGCTTGGGCAAGAGGCTCGAAGTGGTTATAAGAAACTTGCAAAAAATGGCTGGGCTAGATAGAGCCGAGCTTTGGGCCGTCCTATCTCATACGTATGATATAACGGCTTGGGCAAGAGGCTTGAGTCATTATAAGAAACTTGCAAAAACTGGTTGGGCTAGATAGAGCCAATTGACATCGTCTTGCTTTTGTTTCTCTAAATCTTAACTTTGCATTCCTGTAGTGATTTTGTTTTCTAGTGTTTTTGTGTCTTCTAGTCACTTTTCCAATCCTTTAGGAAGAGAGTGCCAGATAAGTGGTTCAGCATGGGCATTATTGTCTTCTCTTATTTTAGGGAAACAAAGTTCTTTATTCTTGACTAAATAAATGGTTCTATCTGCTCTCTTAAGGGGTTTTTTGCACTGAGAACTTGAATATGTTTAAAGTTTTACTGCTTCGCTGAATTTATCTTTGCTGTTTATCAGTTTGAAGTTGATTCTTGCTTCCTGCATCACTAGACCTGAGACATATGTTATCGTTATTTCTATCCATGTATCTCCATCTTAAAATGTCATATATAAAAGGAAACATAATTAATATTGATAGACAGTAGCCGAGAGTAAGCATTTGAACTTTTGATGATACATGTCGTTAATATATACATTAAGCTTCATAAATTTTCTGACAAGCTATAACAAAACATAAGAAGTCAGAAAAAGGGTAATAAATCTATTTAAGAAACTAAGAAAAAGGGTAATAAATCTATTTAAGAAACTAACTCCCATCCTTATTAATAAGAGAAGCAACTGCCATCTTTCACATAATTCAGCCCCACTTTTTAATACAACATATTGATATTTAACACATAATATGCTCCCTCAGATCCAAGCAAGCTAAATGATAAATTGATATAATTGGCATACATGTAAAATAATTACCACAGCAGATAAATGATAAATTGAAAAATGCAACGGTTATTTAAATTGCTTAGCATGCAACTTTCTAAATAATTGAAAATAGTTCAAAATGCAACTAATAAAATTCTAAAATAAGTAAATTTGACCTTGTAATAAGGGCGCAAAGATTTGAGCAAATTAGCTTTAGTCTTGTAAGGAGACAGACCATGCTCCCTACATAAATCCTGAAGCTCTTTCTTCGAAGCGTTGCGTTCGAAGTTCGACTCGCTAGTTGGGGTTTTCGCCATTTCCATTTACAGATAAACCCTAATAGTTTCTGGATCGTACACTTGTTCTCGAGAGCAGCGGAGAGCTAGAATTTCCACAATAAGAAAAGGTTTTGGGAATTTTGATTAAAATAAACCCCAAATAGGAATGGATGGAGATGATATAATTTTTTATGGTTTAAAAATAACATGGAATATTTAAAACTCCTTTAATTGGCTAAATGCACCATATTTTATTTATTAAAATAAGCCCTCTTTGACACCCATTAAAAAAAATGGTAAAATGCATTATGAAATAATATTTTTGTGAAAAATGTGAAATTAAAAAAAAATTGATTTACATGCAGTATTATTTTATTAAATATTGTGTGATTTAAAAAAAAAGAAAAATGTATTAAAATTTTAATGATGTCAAATTAGGGCTAAATTTATTCAATTTAATTTTTTCTTTAAGTAATTTAATTTGATATATGGTTTTGTTTCTTTAGGATAAAATTGTTTATCAGTCTCACACTTCAAAATAGAAGGGTAGCCGCACTCAGGAATATTTTTCTTAATTTTAATTTTGTGTTTCTACATAGGTTACTTGTGAAACGATTCGTGAATGCTCGTTCCCTACCTCCCTATAATGGTGTATTGACGCATTAAAACAGTTCATTGAATCCCTATCAACTCTCATGTTAAGTGCTTTTGACAATTGATCAATGTTCAGTAATCATAATTGTTAAGGAAATAATTACAAAGTAATACGTTAGCGTTGATAATGAGAATTGTATAAAAAACTAAGCGAAACATGATCATTCTACTTAAAATCATAGTTATGAAATCCACCCAATCATCGACCCTGATACATCATTGGACCATTGAGTCAATGATTCAATCGGTATCACTGGCGGACCCAAGGTGGGTCTTGGTGGGTCACTTGACCCACTAACTTTAAATTGAATAAATTTTTTTCTTGATTTACTCAAAAATCAGATATGAAGCTTTAAGAAATTATTTCTTTTGTATTTTCTTATGAAATGGAATTGGGGATTCCCTCAAATTCTCCAAATTCTATCTAGTTTTAGTGATTTTATGGTAATGAATTCATGCTGTGATTTTTGTTTTTGTTTGAACTGGAATGGAGTTGATAATGTAATATTCAGAATTTGCTATGTTTTTTTCTATTTTTCATTTGAAATGATTGTTTTCATTAATCGTGATGAAAAAATAATATAAACGCAAATATGCCTTTTCTTTTGATGATCACAATGTTAATGAAAAGATTATTCGAGATAAAAGTGATGAAAATGATGTTGGAGATTAAAAAAAAAAAAAATGATTACAAACTTTGTGATGTTTAAGATGAAAATTTGTATTCTTTGTAAATTTGATTGTACCCCACCAATTCAAAATATCTATCTCCGCCACTAATCGGTATGTCAATAATCTAACAAATGGGTTAAGCTAAACTATAATTTCAATTAAAACATATTTTATAAAAGCAAAACACAACTTATACGTTACTGTATGTGTTTTTAGCTATATCAAACTATATGCTCACAATCATTGCAAAGGTTTTGCAGGTACCACAGTAGACAAGGTTGTGATATTTCATATTAGAAGCAAGGGGTCAAATCTATACCCGTGTGAATGATAAAAAATTTTGCTCTGAATGAATTTGGTAACTACTCGATTTATATTTAATCGGTTCCGATTTTCACTAAAATCCGCCTGAATCGAGTGACTCTTGATCAGTTCCGAGCATTCACCAGGCGCATCCTTCTTTGAGGTCACCCCTCATCTTGGCAAGAAATTCTCCACCTCCAGACATTTTTTTTCCTTTCTGTACTTTATTAATGCCACCTGGACCGAACAACTATCCGGTTCGCTTGTTCCGAGGTCCGGTCTAGTCCGGGTTTAATAATGATGCCTAAAACATCGTCTATGATTTTATTCTTTGACACACATGATATGCAACATTTTTGGACAAGAAATCACATAAGGTAAACAATCTTCAGCTCTCCAAGTCTAGATGAAGTAATTTGATTTCAAAGCTCGATTTTAAGAACTGTGAATTAGTCATTGAGATCCTTATTTATTGTATCTAAACCAAAATGCATATTATTTTGGTAAGAAGCTCAACTACAACTAAGCCCCTGTTTGTTTATCATTCTTTCACCATTGAAATGAAAAATATGACCGTTATCCATCACATCAAGCCACCAAATTCGAATTTTCATCTTTTGTATAGGGCCATAACGACTATATTTTTCATTATCATTTTTAAAAAAATGGGAAACAAATGCCAAAAGAATTTGATTTTTAGAACAAATTAACTGAGTTCCAATCTTAGTGCCTGTGTTAAACAGTTCTCATTTTTTCCAACTTATTTAATTATTTTCTTCCCTTTCGTGGAAATTAATGATTATAATTTATTTTAGCGTGATAAGTGTTTGCCTTGGGACAATTTTTCTGTTAACTGCACAGAAATATAATCCAAACACTTGAAAATGTCTATCGTACTGCCCAGTAAGATCAAATTTTGAATTCAAATCATAGAGGCACGTGAACCTAGTCAACTCAGAAGTAAATGATCTAAGGTTCATTTTTTAACACAAGAATATGCTTTTACTATGCAAAGGCAACAATAATAGAACGGTCATTAGCCATTGTGCTAGCAACAATTAGTAAAATGCATATCAAAAAAAAAAAAAAAAAAAAAAAAAGTTGCACTCCAATCATGAGGGTCTCCACCACCCCGCTCCTAGAGCTTTGCGAGGAAGGTAAATCGCGATATGTGCCCCGACAGGACAGGAAACAAGAGCTGCCTGTATACTGCACCTACAAGGAGTCTAATTTCTTGTCTCAGGAATCGAACCCCCACACTGCGGCTGCCAGCAAGGCGTGAGATAACCTCACTCCTATCATTTGCATCACTAAATTATACCCCGATGAGCTAGTAAAATGCATATCATTGTCTCTAAATGAAGATCAAGTTGACCGTTGAGTACTTAATATTGGGATTGAGTTAGATTTTTTTTTTTGGTCGAATTTCTCCTTCGATCCCTTGACTCGACCTCATGTATGATACGGATTCTTTAAAACTTATCTTTTTTTTAAGCTCATATAGTTTAAGGAAAAACTCATTTTTCTTCAAATCTCCTCTAAGAAAATCTTGAGAGGGAAAATACCTCATTTGAAGAAAGAAATCTAATTGCTCTCTTCTTCTCTGCTAAAAATCTTGTGCTCTTTGTTTACCCTCAAAGTTTGACTTTCTTTCTCAAGTGCACTTGTGGGTATTATTTTATAGTCTGCTATAGTTAAGAAGACCAGCTGAGTGCCAACAACCATGCTTGGCCAATGTATGGCAATTCTACTCTACTATATCAACTGCAGTAACAGCTTTCATTGCCCATTTTTTGGTATATTATGAATTTGTTTGATGTAAATTTTTTTAGAATATATTTTATAAAAAATAATTTTTTTCGAATAATGTATGATTAAAAAGTATGAAAAAAATGTGTTTCTTACAATTGTTAAAACAATGAAAGCTTCACAATTGGAAAGTAAGGGATAAAAAAACTCCAACCCTAAGTGTTTGATGTGCTTCTCTACAATTAATTTATTGGGAAAATGTGTGATTAAAAATAATTTTACAAATATTAATTTTAAAAAACTCTACCTAACAATGGCTATATTCTAATAATCAAGTCAAGACCCTTTCTCATGTGATACTTTCTTTTGCACCCCATGTCATATAATTTGGATGAAGGGTTTAGGTTGGAGAAGGCTTTGGTTTAGTTCTATTGTTAGATTGAGAATCAGATCGAAATTGACTAATTCTAAGAACTAGAACATTTTGTCATGTTGGTATATGGCCGTCAAGTAAATATTAAGTTGTAAAGTATTCAATAAGCAATAATAAGTTAAAAAATAATGAACATAAACATTTAATTTGTTAAAATTGTTAATAAGTAAATTACTTATTTTAAAATGTTCATCTAATATACTTTTAAAGTAAGTAAAAAACTATAATAAGATCAACATATTCAAAGTACATTGATAACAAAAACTTTACTTAAAAATATGGTTGAATACTTGAATTACTTTTAAGTTTAACATAAACTGTTATTGATGTACTGAATTTGATCAGACCGAACATAATTAAAAAATGTTAATGTTTATCAACTTGTATTTTTTAATCGTATTCAATATAGCTTAATGTATTCTCGTAGTGCTTGCTGCAGATTTAGCCCCCGCTTGGCCCCCATTAATTTAAATTCTATTACATTTCATTTTTCTCTCTCCTATTTTTAACCACACAATTTTTTATAAAATAATATTACACGTAAATCGAAATTTTTTCTTTCTTTTTTAACTATTCATTTTTCAAAAAGGCATTATTCCACCCATTTTCATTTCTCCAAAATGAGGGCCAAACGGGGGCTTAGTCCTATCGGACCTACTCTCTCTCAACCTTTTTGTTGGTTCTTCCTTGTACGAACTCTCATCAATAATCAAGATGTTATGCTAAGGAATTATTTTTAGATAATAGCTTTTGTTGTTTTTGGATTTTGGCTTTAGTTGTTGTCCAATTTCATAACATGTGACAAAAACATATATCTTGTTTAAGTTATTTTCTAGTTTTGCGAAACCACGTCATCCTTCTGTCGTTATCTTTGTGACTATTTCTTCCTGGCCTAATTACTTAAATATAGTTTGAAAGACTTTGAGAGTAATTTTTATAGGTCTTGTAAGATTAGCTGTGAGTAAAATTGATTAAAATCAACGAAATTGGTGAAAAATGTAAAGAGAATTTTTGAACGAAAATCTCTTGTGGATGAAATTATATATATGCCCTCTATAATTTTTGGTATTTAAATTATAAGAAAGAAAACCCATAAAAAAAAAAAAAACAAAAAAAGTACAAGCTGACTTTCAAACACAAATATTCAAAATCGATACGACTCATCTCCCACGAGTAATACATAGTGGAAATTACACTATACCATACTTTTCAAAATCGTAATTCAAAAAGTAGATAATAGGTTTATTTAATCATAAATCGGGTAATTTAACTAATAATAATAATATTATATCCAACCCCATCCCAATCCCATTTAATCACAAACCCTAAAATTCATTTCTCTCCATCTTCTCTTTCCAACTAACCTACACCTTTGACGTCGCCGCACGATTGGAGGCCACTGTCGAGCTTCCATTGTGATGATATCAATAACTTCATCTATGTAAGGGGAATATTCCAAGCCATCACTAATGATTTTCATATTCGTCCCCCAAGCTCCGATTCACAGTGCTACAGGAAGCCACCGCCGATGAAGTCTACCTCAACATATTCACTTGTTTACTATGACCACAAAAACAATTCAGTCCTGCATGCAATGAGGTACAGGTTGGGATAGCATATTCACTTGTTTACGATAAAAGAAACTGATCATAGTCTGAGGGTAGGAGTGGACTGTTTGGTTTATGTGACCAACTATTTAGTTGTGTGTGACTAATTAATTTGAAAATTTGAAGCCGCTAAATAAGTTGTGACCTATAAAATCTATAATTTGGGACTAATAAATAAATTTCGTGACTTATAATATTTTTTATTTGTGATCAATTAATTGGATAATATGTTACCAATATATAAGTTGTGATTTATAAGTATGTGCTTATAACCATTAATTGTATAATAGTAACTTTAATATATTTATTTCTTTAATTTTGAATTGGCCTATAATTTATACATGAGATTTGAATTTTTCCCGAATGCTCATCTTTTCACACCATACTAACGCTTTTAACCCGTAAATCAATACAAGCCGGTGCCAACCGCGCCCACATGTCCCCGTCCCACCAATCACGCCTTTAGAGTCACTCTCAGCCGGCCTTTTACGCAACGTTCCCATTCCCAAACGGCTTTCTCCAGTTTTCCCTGTACACTCCCCCCGTCATCAACGGTCAAATTTTTCCTCACTTTCTCCAACTAAATTTTTTTATTGTAAAATGGCCCACAAAAAAATCATTAGTGACACCCGTTTATTATTAATTTAATTGCAAAATGACCCAATTAAATGCATAATTATTACAACGCGGTTTTGAAAACACTTTTTTTTTTTTTTAATGATAATTTAGAATGAATTTCTTCAATGGTCCACAACCTTTCATAAGTGGTCGTCTCTCTAATTTTTATTTGTGAAAATTGTGTCCTTGACCTTTTTAAGTTTTATCACTGTGCTTATGGTATCCTTATTCGTTGAAAATGTCTATTTGAACGTTAAATGATCAAACAATACGCACGTAATGTGTGATGGAAAGGATGACTTTCCATATAAAAATATTTTAATATAATTTCAATAGTTTGTGTTGGTTTTAAAATAAAAGAGTTTTTTTGGACATTTTACTCTTTCAATTGACATAATATGCGTGCTGTTTCAAAATTTAACATCTAAATCAATGTTTTAGATCCTGGACCAACTCGACAATTCAACAAGAAATAATTGATCTAGTCATTACTCTAATCCATTCCACTATATTAGATCGATCTATAATTGACTCGGTTAAAAAAAAAAAAAACCATCGCGATATCATAAAAACCCATTAACCCAAAGGATCTTTGCTATTTATTTATTTTTTTAATGAGATTTTATTAAGGATTTGAAGAGTCGCTTAATTCTTTAAGATTTAGTTTTCAATTTAAATTGTTTTATTTTATTTTAAGTTTTTATATTTTCCTTGCCCTAAATTGTACTCTTCCATGTGATTTATATACAAGAAAACTGTAAATGTGGGGCACATTACATTTGCGTATTATAATTTTAGCATCTCCTGCCAAGTTAATGCTTTCTCTTTTCTAAGCCTCTATCATACAACATTAGTCTTGCATATTAAAAAATTCTAATGTTAGTATATTGGTCGAGTTAATGCATTCTCTTTTCCAATAATCTATTATGAAGAGATCTAAATTTGTTAAAAAAATGGTAAAAAAATTTATTTTTTTCAACATGATTACTTTTACATCATCTGGAAAATCTTTCAATCTGCTTTTGTTTTGAAGTAAAGATTGAAATATAATGTATGATTAATTTAGTAAATGACAATTAATATTACTATAATTGTTCTATTATAATAACAATAATGCTTCTTATTATATTTGATAGGAGGTGAGGATATTCCACACAAATGATAAAAAGTTAGGGATATGAATATTATAAACAAAAGATTAGGGAGATGACTGCAATATTTATGAAAGATCGGGGATCAACGAGGAATTTACCTATTAATTTACTCCTCGCTCTTTTCTAGACTTAAAACCGCGTACGTTGACAGCTCCAATCCAACTGCTTCAAGACAGCTATAGAAAGAACAATAACGCCACCTGTACATCAATCATTGCACATTATTTTACATCATCTTTGGTGTTAGACTTTGATTAGTGTTAAAATTTTTTTTTTTTTTTTTTTTTTTTGGGAAAATCATAAACAGACAAGCTCAAAAGCAAGAAACAAAAAAAAAATAGATTAACGTGACAGCAACTTGTTGGGTATTTTTTTAAAATGTTTCAAAATCACCACTCATGCATCGACACGTGTGCATTGACAGACATACTCAAGTGACCCACCAACTTCAAGATTATTCTTTTTTTTTTTTGTAAGCCAAAAACCAAAATTGGACAGTAACAGTAGTTGGGCTTTTTATTAGAATAAAGTTACGGTGATTACAAAATAATTGAGAGAGTGAGAATTGAAATTATTTTGTCATTTGTGATATTTAATTTGAAATTTCTTTAGAAATTGTTATTCATTATAAACGTTAAATAATTTGGAAGGGGAATTGTTATTATCATATATGTGAGATTTGTGAATTTGTGATAGTGATTACCTGCATGTGTTTTTGTAGGATACATAATTTTTCTTAACTTTTCAATAAGTTTGATTATGCCCAACTAATTTCAAATGTCTGCTTCCGCCATTGCACGTGTAGCATATTTTTAAATTTTAAGCCTGTTTTTCAGCTTGTTTCTAAAGAATTGCCCCCCCCCCCCCCCCCCTTTTTTTTTTTTTTTTATAATTTTTTTTTTTTGTTTATTATTAATTTTTGAAGCACCATATTTACAATTAGTCGAATCTTCTTACAAGTTGAGTGTGTAATTTTAACATTTTACTTTGAGGGGGGTATTTAATTTTTTTTTTTAATAAAGCAACCCGACAAATTTTCTATGATTGGATCCTTTTCTCTCTAACCCAAAACTCTCTCTCTCTCTTGATTGTCCCTTTTTCTTCCTTTATTTAGCACCACCGTTTCCAAGTTTCTCTCCAAGTTTTTCTCAAGTTTCTTCAACACAAACCATTCAAATTTTGTTCAAATATCAAACCTTCATTGCCCACAATTTTGTTGAGGATTTTCCTTGCATAGTTGGTTCTTTAGAAGCCACCCCCATCCCACCCACGCACTCCACCTGCAACAACAGAAGATCAAAACAAAAGAACCCTTTTTGTCCTCGTATTCTCCTGTCTTGCCATCCTCATCCTTGGCGGTCCGAATTCTATTCTTCTGCGTAGAATGGAAGTCAGTGAGCTGAAGCGTGTTTTTCAAATGTTCGATAGAAATGGAGATGGCAGGATCACAAAAAAGGAACTGAACGATTCCTTAGAGAACATGGGAATCATTATCCCGGACCCTGAGCTGACTCTGATGATACAAAAAATCGACGTAAATGGAGATGGATGCGTCGACATTGATGAATTTGGTGGACTGTACCAAACCATCATGGAAGAGCGCGATGAGGACGAGGACATGCGAGAGGCATTCAATGTTTTTGATCAAAACGGTGATGGGTTTATCACCGTTGATGAGCTGAAATCGGTCTTGGCGTCACTGGGGCTCAACCAAGGGAGAACCGCAGAGGATTGCAAGAAGATGATAATGAAGGTGGATGTGGATGGCGATGGCATGGTGAATTTTCACGAGTTTAAGCAGATGATGAGAGGGGGTGGATTCGCTGCATTGACTTGATATTATTGGAATTTTATCTACATTAGCATTAATTTCAAAGGTATTTTCGTAAGTCGTAATTTTTTTTTTCTTTCTTCACCCATAATTGATCAGAGATGAAGCGAGAGAGAGAGAGAGAGCGGTGATTACAAATTTAAGCAATTCCATTAAGTTGGATTGGACAATACTGAACAATTTATGCTATCAAGTTCTGTTCAATACTGCATGCTTCATTGTGGATGAAAATGAAGCTTAGGTTAACGAATTGCCATTCTTTGCATAGAAGAAAGTGGGAGGGGTGAGGTTTAGGGAACAAATGATTTGTAATGCATGCGTTCATGTTTTTTTTAAATATTTTTTGGAAATTTGAAAATGGAGAGTTGGATTTTTAGCTCTTTTCCCTTTAAAATTTCATTTTTGTATGACTTATGTGGTGTATCAATATTGTTTTTCATCATTTTTAAAGATTGTTCATTTGTTTGTAACCTCGTGGTGAAGAGTGAGCTTCGTCTATAATTTTTTGTAATGAAATAATAATTGAAGTAAAAATATATCAAGACTACGTTTGACTGGGGCTAAAAATCAAATTTTAATAGATTTTTATAGAAAGGTACTGTTATTTTCATCCACATTTTTTATAAGTACATCTCATTCTAAGTTCATCCTTAATAAAATTTTAAAATTCTTAAAAATTACTATTTACATCCACGTCATATTCCAATTTTGTCCTTATTAAATTCATTCTTTTAAATATTATATAACCATACGAATTTTATATATTCATCCCACTTTAAATACATCCCTATCACTATAGATTCTCCCAATCCCTAAAACTATAAACTCTTAAACCAAATGAATGAAATAAGAACAAGCTGAACTGATTGAACATTAAATGAACATGAAATAAATTCTTTGTCTATTGAAACTCTGAGTTTAGAATGTTTCAAACAACAAAGGCTAAAGAAAGAAAGAAGAAGAAAGTTCGATTAAGCAAGCTGAATTTTACTTTGTTGGCTAAAATTATTCCTCTTTCTTGATTAACTACTGAAATTGCATCAGATTTGATTTTGCATTCTTCGAAATTCAATATAATTCCCGACATAGAAATCATATTTAGGGACACCATCATATTTAGGGACACCATCACCTATAATTATATTCATGTATTTTTTTCTATCTATTAGGATTCTAATTAAGCACAAACGAAAATAAAAACTAATGGATCAATTTAGAGTTATGTATTTTTATTTAATTTTGTTTATGTCTATTTAAGTAAATTTACATAGGATTTAAAATATAACAAAATTTAATTTTTAAAAGTGGATGTATATATAAAAAGTGTGGATAGAAATAACTGTACTCTTTATAGAATTGATTAGAATGTGTAATTGAAAAGTAGATAAAATTTATGGAAATTAATAAAAATTAAATATTGATTTTTGTCTTAAAGTTTTGTTTTGTTTCACACCCTATACACGAGAGGCTATATCGGATCGATCTTGAGCATAGTAAAAACTAAAAAGTAGGCAACGATTAAATTAGAGCGTGCTTAAGTAGTAGTAAGGATCTTCTTGTTTTTATTTGATACTGTTGCGTATTGTCATATTTGGCCAACCTATCTAGGCTAATGGCCCACTCAGGCCGAACCACGTGGCACTTCAGCCGATGCGGTATATATTGTCGAGGTGGGCTATGGCCGAAGCCCTTCAATCCAAGGCGTGCCCTTTCACCTAGGCCTGTGATAGTAACCGAGGTCGACATGCTGAGGCCTATGGCCCGACGCCATGATGCGGAGCTGGTTGAAGTTAGTTGAAGCCCTCAAGTGGAAGTATTGTATGAAATGACCAAAGCCCCGAAGCTGATGCAGGAGCCTCCGAACCACATGAGAACGTCCTCCATGATCACTTTTCCCAAGAGATCGTCTACACAAAGATCTTATTCGAATGATTAATGGAACGTTTGTCATAAGCATAAAGGTCAAGTCTTGTCACTAACATGAAGGCTCTGCACAAGCAATAAATGCGCAGCAAGCTAGCAAGTCAAGCCCCCTGTCTAGGATAAGATATTTGAATAAAAGAGATGAGGCCATGTGCCACCTCATCCAAGGGCCCCCATTTCACATGTATCACTATAAATACTTCCCTTGTATAACATCAAAGGACTAATGTAAAAATCAATACAAAGAACTACACTTTACTCAACTCTCTCTCATTTATTTGTAATACAAAAATCGAGTTTACATATATTTACATGTACATTTACGAATACCGGTTGGTAATTATTGTCAATCGGATCACGAATAACTCGCCGGATTTCGAACGTCACCATCCTGCGTCGTTGGGCTACTCTCACGCCCTTTGAATCGCTTGTTGTAGACCGTCCACGTGTTATAGCGTGTTGGACATTCGCCCACGTGTGTGCGGGTGAGACCGACGTCTGTTGGCAACACTTTTTGGGGTCAACAGATACTATTAGAGAGAAGCTTTTGATTGCACGAGTGAAATTTATAGTAATGGAGTTTGAAGGAATGTAAATAAGAGATTTCTCTGTGGGTTGAGAGTTAACGTGAAAATGGAACAAAATTCATACATCATTTCATATCGACTTGCTCTACGTCATCATGTCATGTGTCATGTATAGTAATTTTTGTGCTAGTTATGCTCTCTGCCGTGAACTCTCTCTCTCCCCAGCATCAACTTTTGTTTAATAAAACTGTGATTTCTATTTTAAATCGTTAACCTTAGAATAGCTCAAATTCTTATAATACATTATTTCCTCAATTTAAGAACGATATATAGTGTTTTAATTAGTTGTCACATTCACCATTAAGCTACGTTTTTTGAATTGCCCATAGAAAAGGTACTTCTTTCCTTGTAAGTATATCTATGTAGTTATCAAGGTTGTCGTCTAAAAAAAAAAAAGGAGAGATTATTTACATCCATCCAATGCACCACCTCACATACTTATTTTATTTATTTTTGTCAAAGACCCGACAAATGAATTATTCATGGATGACGACGAGAGCTAGACTATAAAGGACTTCATCTACTTGAGTTGTCAATTAAACAATAGTGTGTATAAGGTTAAGAAATTCTCGTAACTTGATGAATGATGGAATGGCAATAGATTGTTGCAAAATTGAATTATATATATCCGATCTTTTACCCAAAAAAAAAAAAAAAGGAGAGTTTGGAATAGTAATTTTTTTTTGGAGAATGTGTGGTTCAAAAATAAGAAGAAATTTTCGATTTACGTATAACATTATTTTATGGGAGAATGTGTGGTCAAAAACGAGTTTTTTTTAATAAAGAAAAAGGGACCCAAACATAGGCTTAATCTTTCATTTGTTAGCATTTTCATTGACGGGAGACAAATACTATCCAAACAAAGATCGAATAATGCAAAGGAACAAAATAATTCTTCTATGCATTCATCACTACTAGAAAGAGAGACAACATAGATGAAATTTTAGCGACATACATCATTCGTTGCTACTGCCAAGGATTTACGATAAATTAGCGACGGATTTTTGTTTTATCATTTTTAAAGGCCAAGTCCTAACACTATCAAATATTCTGTTTTAAATTGGGATTATTAGAAGCATGCAATATATTTATTAAGCCATAATAAGAAATAAGAAGAATATACACAACACACATCATAAAATCATCACTTCAATCTTTGATGTAAGAGTTTTGATATTCTAATGGCAGTAGTTCTTGGTGTACAGCTTTACACCCCCCTCACAATAAGGAGGGTCCAAAATTATAAAATTCATGTGGGCCATCTCACATTGTAAAAGGGCTGTATATCACGGTGTACAAGAAACTTTATTGTTCTAGTGTTGTTCACATTGAATATTGGATTTCCATTTTCCCATCTCATTCTTTATATTTTTTTTCATATCAAAACAATATCTTTTAAACTCTTTTCAATCAATTTTTTGTGTCGGGTAAATTTAATTTTTGTGACGGTCAAATATTTTTTATGGATGAAAATATTCGAAATATCCTTATTTTGGGGAGAAAGTGGGAGCTTGATTTGTTATACTAAATTTCAAGTGAATCAAATAAATATATGATACATTTATTTTCATCTATTTTTGTAGCATAATTAGACAGTAAGCCTTCTGTTTACTTTTGATGATTATAAATGTAATATTAATAGTTATAATTTTCCGAAACAATCGATTACATTTTTTTTTTAAGTAAAGTTTGTTGATGGTGAAAAGTAACAAGGCTCTTTTTAATCAACTTAACGAGGATTTGTCAAATAAAATTGAGGATTTCACAATTTTGGCGAGATTGGAATCAATTTAATACAAACGTATGCCTGGGCTGAAAAATCGAAAAATCAACCAAACCAATTAACTCGAGCCAACCAGGTTCGGGACGACATGGGTAATTGATTTGGCTTGGTTTGGTTTCCTTTTAAACGAAATCATGGTGGGACACAGTGGCGGATGTAGCTATTGGCCAGCTAGGCCGCCCTACCTGGCTTCGTCGGAACCTCCGCTGGGAGGGGGCCGCCCTAGCCGGCTTCGTCGGAACCGCCACCGCTGGGAGGGAGTTGGTTTATTTTTCAGATTTGGTCCGTCTACCGTCGTTCAGTTGCTTGGGCTCTTTTCAAGGACTGGGATATTCGATGGAGTTCCAACCTGGAGAATCAAAAACATTTCAAATATGAAATTGTGGAGGTTATGTCAGATTTTGTTGATGGTACCGGTATAAAAGTTGCTTGCTTGGACAAAGTCGAAGGATTTCTTAGCCTATTTCAGTGAACAAGTGGGAGGGAGATTGATTCGTTTGTAATACGACCCAACGAACTACTTAGGTTCTCCCACCAAATTCCCTTTTTTTAAATGACTAGCAGTGAAAGGAAAGGAGTCCCGGAAGGGTCTTTTGAACTTGATCCTGCTGCCTTACTCCTACAAGGCTAAGGGGGACATTGGAAACAGGGATGCTAAAGTCAATTGCTCATGGCCAAAGTTTGGCCTCTCGCGAGAGTTTTATTTTTCATTTTTCGTTTTCTAACTTGAGGCTGTGTTACTCTTGATCCGGTTCTAGTTATTGGAGGAAATAAATTTAGCTGATCTTCCAATAGTTGGGTGCACTTTTCGGCTATACGCGGCTTTATGACAGTTTTGTAGTCAACCATGTTTCCGTATCTGCTCTTGGTACCTTTGCTAGTGATTTCTTGTTTACTATTACCTTATTTTACACAGCAGTACTTTGACTGATTGTACATAAATAGCATATCTTTTTTCCCATGTCATTTTGGTACTTTCTTGTGGTATTAGTTACTCTAGTTTCTCATACTTGTGCTTGTTTGGTTTTGCTTATAAGTTGCTAAAATTATATTGCTATAGAAAATGAGATAGGTAATTGGGTCTTACGGGATGTATGGTTAAAATTAAATTTTGACTTGATTTTTTCTGAATTTACTTCCCTTCCCCTCGAGCAAATAGCATTAGTTTCTGGCGAATCCACGTTTAAAATTTGCATACGTCCATGAAGTTCGATATGCCTAAAATAACATAGACAAACGAAACAGTTCGTAGAATAACAGAACAAAACTTTCTTAACAATTGCGAAGTCATGCCTCTAAAGATTGGTTGATACTCTAGTAGCTGCCTGTGTTTGAAATAAAAACCAGGTCAACATGTGAAGCATGCTGCTCCAAAATCCAAAACTATGTCAGCACTTGTCCTGTTGCCCCTATCACGGTATATTTCATTGACCTTTTTACAGCACAACCACTTATTACAGTTCTTCCCCTATCAAGAAACAAAAAAATAAATCACATCAATGGTAGGATCGTTATAAGGATGAAATATATAAAATTTTCCGACTCTTGACTGGCATATATAGAACATTTCCTCACCTATGTTCCACTCCGTCCCAATTAATTTCACTTTTCATACAAATTCACTCGGATTTGGACTATTTTACATTATTTCAGTATCTAGTATTAAACTATATTTTCATATGTATATAATTTCTAGATTTTAGTGCATTTACATACATATCGAATAATTTTTAATATTAATTAATCTAATTTTAATAAACGATTGACAGCCGACCGGATCGAGCTTTTACGATTGTTGATTGTCGATGGTCAATGGTCAAAGTCAACATCCGACCTAACTGAACGTTGATGTTAGATTCGCCACTGGTGGGACGGTTCAATCATGATTTGAAATCTCAAACCGCCGGATAACCGAACCAACCCAACTCATATACATATTTGCCCTTTTTTAATTTAAGAAAAATATGAATAAAAAAAACAAGCCCTAATCTAATAACTATATCTTGATTCCCTCCAATTCATGATGTTGCAAGTAAGTAATAGCACTGAAAATTCATTTCACAAGCTCATTATATTACACTTAACATTTTTTCCCTACTCAAACTGTTAGACTGCATAATACATAAAAAACAACAAAATTTTAAAATTTTCTGTTGATCCGTCTTTATTAACCTGATTTTATTTGTTAGTTAAAAATTTTTGTAATATAAAATTAGTTGGTTATTTAGTTCTTGTATTCTAAGTGAGCTCAAAACTCGGACAATTTTTATTTTTATTTAAAAAGTTAAATTTGGATTGAAAATTCAAACCGACTAACCGAACCAGATCGGTTCGGCTTAGTTTAAAAGATAGAGTGAGTTGGTTTAGATTGAAATTTGCTCAAACCGACTAATTTGATTTTGGATTTGAGTTAGAGTCGAAATTGACTCAAACAAAATCGCTCACAAGCCTATGCAAACAGATGATTTTTAATAGTATGTGATCTCTTTGTAATTTTTTCATGTTTCAAAATGGAGGGAAGTCCTCCTTTTATACGCACACTTTGTAATTCATGATGCATCTAGATGATTATGATATTTAAATATAAATTAAAAATAGGAATGAGCGATTAATAAGTTGATAATACTTAATTGTTCATTAAAATGTGTGGTTAAAAATTATGTTTGATCATTTATAAATAATTTATAATTTTCGACAAACGGTTCATTTCAATTATGTTAGCCTTCAAAATTGATTCATGGTATGGAAGTATGGTAATATTTGTTTGACGTCTAAATTGTTTATTTATGGATTTGGTTGTTAAAAGTGTAATAAATCATCGCTTATTTGGTATTATTAAATTATCTATAATTCCATTTGGGTGGTGACTTAAAGGTTTTTTTCAAGAAAATGG